GCACAGCCCAGAAAGCCGGCATTTTAAAACAGCCAGTTTTTTCCTGCTGCCGAGTCAGGACAATTTCTTTGCGGCACGCAACCCAGAAACAGCAAAAAGCTGTCTTAAATTCTCTCTCTCTCCTTTTTAAGCCCTCTCAGGTTTTTAAGTGGATTTAGCCCATCACGTCTGGGCGACATCTGTTGAAATAGGAGCGGCAGGGCTGCGTCCCCGGCACCCGGCCGCCCACAATTAACTGATTCTGCATAATAACATAGTGTCTTATTTTAATAGATGATCTTAAATTATGTGTGTGCTGAATTGTCTTCTAGGGTTATTAAAACAGCAAATTGAAATCAACCTCTTTTTTTCACCACATAAATAATACAAAAGACAAGGGAAATATAGGGGATACTTATCACTGCATCGTGTGATAGGTCAGATCCCAAAATACATCAATGCTGCGGAGCCTAGGATTGATTGGGGTAATTGGGAATGGTCTGGGGAAATAGTCCTTCTGGCTTGGTAAAGTTAGAGAAGATGAGCCTTACTCAGTTCCTTGATGTCAGGGACAGAGATCATAGCAACCACCTCAGGCTGACACTTATGGGCACAGCACACACATTGACTGTTTCCTAGTTCCCCCGCCCCTCCCCTCCTAGCCTCGTACCCACCTACCTCTTTTCTCTCACTCTAAATCTAGTCTTCTCTTTCATGACCTCAGATGGATTATCTTGGTTTCAAATTGACTCAAAGTTCTTTCTAGAAGTTGATATGATGGAGTACATCATATTTTTTAATACCATGCTTCTGAGTCTGTCTACACTTGTATTCGAAGACCACCCTAGGCCCCATACGCCTACTTAACATTAAATCTATCTAAGTTCAATTCAGATTTGCTGAGTCTGGTGGTTCATGGCTACAGTCTAACTCTTCCCCCATCAAACCATACGAGAATATTTGGAATATTGATTTGCATTTCAGTACTCACAACATTCACTTCCGGTAAAGAAGGTATTGGAGGCAAACATTCACATTTCTGGCCCTGCACAGTTTAGACTTTATGATTCTTTTTTATTCACAGAGTTTTATTCTCTAATCTGACATTTCCTGATAGTCCATTTATCCTGAAAGAAATTCTGGAGAATTGCAAAGTGAGGAGAGCCAGAATAAGAGCACTTCAAAAGCGTGTCAGAGGTAAATGATAGAGAAAACCCAAAGTTGCAGAGTGCCTGCAATTACCAAGAGAGCACTTGGCACTCTGCCATTTCAGCGGCTGAGTGAGAAATGGATCCAGGCAGATCTGTTCTGCAACATAGAGATGGGACACCTAAGCTTGGGGACCAGATGATTGAACAATTCCTTTGAAAGCTAACTAGAAGGAAACCATACCCTCTTTCCATTACAGGGAGATCTTTAGCTTAGTAATTCTCTGTGGGGTGAGAGTTACTCTGTATGCACGCACACACACACACACACACACACACACACACACACACACACACACACGAAGCAAGACAGTACTCCATCTAAATCTCCTACGACTCAGCTAATCCTTAAACACAGAAAATGCTACCAAGTTGAACTCAATTGAAGAGGCAGAACCATTAAGAACTGATTGATTCTGGAGCTGGAGGGATAGAGCTCCTGCATAGGTTCCAGTGAGGTTCTCAGTATCCATGTCAGCTGATAGCTTCAGGGGGATCAAACTCCCCGAACCTGAAAGATACCCACACTCACAACACAGACATATGCACATAATTAAAAATTAAATACATACCATCTCAAAAGCTGATTGTATCAAAATTCATGTGCTTCTCATCTATTTGCTCCCCTTACCATCCTGTCTCCTTATTTCTACCCTCTGGCTGCAGTTTAAATAAAGATGTTTTCTTCTTTCATATGGAAAAGAAACCAACAGTAAAGCATTTAGGATGATGTTACTCCATGACCAGCAGCCAATGAGTGTTTCACAATCCCAAGGTCATTCTTTGTGTAATCTAACTTGTGTCCAGCAGCATGTAAAAGGCAGGAAATTTATTAAAGTGTAAACCTGCATAAGCAAATGAAATCCCTCCACGGAGGCTGAGCCCGAAGGGTAAAGAAAAGGAAAGAGGAAGGCTTGCTACTGAGAGAGCTTAGAGAAGAGGTTGCTGTGCGTTTCTTCTACATCTCCCTTTAAACCCATTTTCTTTTCCATTGCTTTTGACTTGTGAGGAGCAATGTGGACACTGTCTAATAAAATTATTGCATTTGTTGGTGTTTTTACAAAATTTGCTGAACTAAGTGGTCAAAGTTTGTCCAGGAGAAATAGAATATTGATGTCCGTGGTTAATTTTAACCCCCATCGATTTGCCTCTTCACAATGATTTTTATTTCCAGGTGTCAAGGATGTGTTTCCGTTCTCCCTTTAACTAGGGATCAGTTACAGCCCATGATGCACCCCTGGAAAATGGCACAGAGCAGAAAGCGTACCTCTGTTTTCTAAACGAAACATTCTCTCTTCATCAGCTCACAGTGATATATGTGAGCTGTTTGTCTTTCACGACTGTTCTCGTCATTTCTCTCTCTCTCAGCCTTGGCCACCAACAACCCATTCACAGCTATCCTGTCTCTTTCTCCACATTCCTTCTTAAGTTAATTTCTGATCATATATAATCACCATCCATAGAAAAAAATTAAAGAGAAGAAACCTTTTCTTCAAACAAGGTTCATTTGGGGGTTGTAGTAGAGGCTGGGATCTTTATACTTGGAAATAAAACCCGAATGGATCAAGGGAGTTCATACTGTACTTTCAGGGAACCTGAGTTCCGTTCGCGGCCTCCACATCAGGTGGTTCACAGTCGTCTTTCACTCTAGTTCCTTGGGATGTATCCAAGGCATTCTTCTAGCCTCACGTAGTGCTGCACTCGTGGAACACACCACACTCCTGAATGTACACATAATTTAAAAATAAAATACATTTTTTAAAAAAAAAAGATTCGTTTGTTTAAACCCACTGAGACTTCTTAGTGCTGCCTGCGTGGGCATAGACTGATTAAAATACACTGCATACAAATACAAAAGAATAAAAATAAAGTAAAATGAAAAAGATTAATTCTGCAGTCATCAAACTCTCATTGTGAATCACATCATATTCTCAATTAAATATTCAATAGATCTCTTTAAGTTGCTCTCCTGTGGCCTTTATTGTAAACTTATTAAATATATCTTTGAACCCGATTCTTCACTCAGTAACCTAATGACCAGAACACCAGAAAATAAACTTTTGCTAAAGCACATGAAGAGACTACTTTCTATTTCCAAAAGTTACAAACTCTTTTGTGTGCCCTGTTCTTCTAAGCTAGCCCTCTATGTTATTGCTATTTTTAATGTCTGAGGCTCTGCTTGACAGGTCTGTAACTGAAACTTGCTTTGAGCTGATATGTGTCCTGGTGGCCTTGTTTTGCTATTCATAAATATTGCAGCCAGACTTTTAATGGACATTGTAGGCGAAAATAGAACTGGACTGCTAACATTTAATTTTCTGTGTAAAATAAAAGAAGTCGCACAAAGCCAGAGCATTGGCTGGGTGTGTTTGGGGAGTTCCCGGGGGGTATATATCACCCTGTGTGGCTTTCATTTTCTTGGTGAAAATTGATTTAATGTGTAACATTATTAGATTAATCAAGTTCCTTTGGAAGAAGCCATCTCGCCAAGGAGAGTTTTGTTTGATTCAGTTACTCCGCTCTGTTCTGGCCCTTGCAGGAGTTCTCCACCATGAAGGGAAGATTGGGGGAAAGGATGAGGGCTGAAACTAGCAACAGCCTCGGTCTTAGTATGACACCAGGCTTCCTTGAACTATTCCCATGGGAGAAAGGAATGCTTCTTTGTAAAGGTATGCCTGGGAAGTTCAAGCAGCCATTCATTGTTCCTTCACAGCTAGATGGCATTTCTTTTTTTGCTTTTCTGTCATAATATATACTCAGAAACCTTGCCCAGCCTTCCACTTCCCTTTAAGACTTATTAACTTTCATTTGTGTTTTGCAGTAGAAAGACAAATGTGAACGATTGATAGCCTCCTGAATGTCCTGAGACGTTACTATCTGTGAAAAACTTCATTTTCAATTTGTGTAGCCCTTCTACAGTGGATTGCCAAAAATTCCAAGTCAAGTGACCCGGGTTCAAATGTCAGCTTCTTAATTGAATCCTACAATGAATCCTGCCACTCTCTGGCTGTTTCATTGTTTCTTGAATGGAAATATTATAACTACATATATTCTTGGATGCATATGGATTAAAAATCTGTATTAATACAGTGCACACACTTAAATGACAAGAACATATCTCTATTTTTGCTGTTTTAGAGACAGGGTTTCTCTGTAGCTTTGGAGCCTGTCCTGGAACTCACTCTGTAGACCAGGCTGCCCTCGAACTCACAGAGATCCACCTGTCTCTGCCTCCTGAGTGCTGGGATTAACAGCGTGCACCCCCACCGCCCAGCTATCAAGAAAATATCTCAAGGACCACAAATTTAGAATTGAGAAGGGGATAGACTTTTAAAAAGTTTATTGTTTGAGAATTTCATACTTGAATATATTTTGTTCAAACCCTCCAGACTCACTTCTCTCCAGTTCTTTCCATTGCCTCCACCACTTTCCTCTGCTTCATGTATGGATTCACTTTCCACAGTGTGCATGTATGTGTATATATATATATATATACACATATATACACATATGTATACCCCATATGGAACACATATATTCTGAATATATGGTGTTTCATGTATATCTGTATATATTCCATATATATGATGTTTTGTGTTGGTTTTTGTTTCTTTCTATATTTTATCTGTTTGAGAATCAATGTGACTTTTAATTTTGTCTTCCTAGACAAGTGTTTAACTGATTTCATCAGAATTATGGTGCTTTTTCTGAGCCCCTTTACCACCAAGCTTGAAGATTCTCTCTGCTGTGTAATTAATAAAGTCTCTAGGCTTAATGCTAAGTAGTATGTGAAGCAGGGCTTATCAGCTCAAATGCTGCATCATCTTGCTGGTTATAGGAAATGAAATAAAGGCATAAATGTCACTGTAGGCATAGATAATGACTGAGTGCTGAATAAATTTAAAGTTGTGGATTCACCAATGGCCTTATTGTAGAGAAAGATTGCTTATTCCCAAACTACGCAATTTAGGCAGGGTTGCAGAATAAGACAGAGGTTTAGAATTGTGAAGAGTTAAGCTTAAGCTTACTCTATGGTTTAGAATGAGATTATTCTTTGCAGAAACAGCAAAAGGATCAAGAAGTATGTCTTATGCATTCAACTTTTCACGTTCTTCCTTTTCCTTTTCTTGGGTGATACAGTGTAATTCATGCTCTGAAGAACACGGAGGAAGGGGTTGGTCTGCGGGTTTTCTGGCCTCTGGGCTTGGACTCTGGGTTTCTAACCTGCATGAAAGGGGGGGGGGGGCGCTGTGCTCTTGGAGGTAGGGCGGCGAAGAGGTGGTTGACGTTTGATATTTCACAAAGTAGCAATTCGCTGATAAGAGAAAGCAGTGGGGACTGCGTCTTGAAATGTTGTTCATTTCAGCAGTGGCGGGTCTGCTGTGGACATCACTGTCATTAGGGCGTTCGTGGCCGAGGTCACTTTGGTTCACGTGTTTTATACATTGGTCGCCTTCTCCTTGTGACTTGCCAAACAAACCTTTTTATTTTTGCACACGTTTATGTTGATTTTGTGGTTTCTGAAATTGGGTTCTGGCTCCTGGAGGCCCCAGTTTCCACAGCAACTGGAGGTCTTATCTGCTACTGGTTCTTGGCAAGCAGACAACCAGGCCTTTCAGTTTACCTTGGGCAGGTTTTTTTTTTTTTTTTCACTCTAAAAAAACCTTTTTCTTCTTCCCAATTTTCCCTACACCCTGTCATTTAAACATCACATAATTAATTACGTACATCCTGTGCCACATGCAATTGCCACAGCTTTGAAGTCCCAATAGATCATTTTATAGAGCGGTGGGTGCCGTTTTAAGAGGGGAGGTGGGGTGGGGAAAGAAGAAGACCTGGCGCCAGGGCACGGCTGAGCTGCAAGGGGCGTACATGGCCTGGTCCAGGTATGATAGAGAAACCTGGGTGCTTTCTATTTGTTTTTCTGCGTTTCCTTCCCAAGCTGGTTATATAGGGAAGACCTCAAGCTCCAGTTTGTTATTTCTCTCTCTGGAGCTATTCCTTTTCAAAAAACCAGCATAAACCGCCTCATTTGGTACTGACGTGAGGTTTGGGTGGTTTTATTTTTATTTTTTTCCTATTTCAAACTGGAAAAAAATATGATTTAGCATCATGTCATTTATTGGCTGCTACTGATCCAGAAGCATTAAAAATAGGACAAAAATAAAGACAAAATTACCAATTCCTGTATTTAGACACTGTTACATGAACTTACCAACTAGGTAGTGTTTGCATATACATATAAACATGCAATCTTTTCTCAATGAAAATATCACTTTTATGAGAATAAAGATTATAATCATAATGAAAGAGATAAATGCCCCCTTGGTGAAGACAAAAAAATTCATATTTTTAAATTATATGTATACGGTGCATGCTTTTTCTGTGAGTCATGTGTACATGTGATTATGCCATGTGTAAGTGTGTATGTGTGTGTTCAATGCATGTAGGGCACATATATGGAGGTAAAAGGACAGCCTTTAGGAGTCAGTTCTCTCCTTCCACTGTATTTGCTAAGGACTGAATACTGGCTGTCGGGCCTCTGTGCAATAGGCTATTATTTGTTCAACTGTCCTGCCAGCCAAATGGGGTGAAATTAGATTATTTTTGTCAAAGTTAGTCTTTAAGAGTTTGTGTGTATGTGTGTGTGTGTGTGTGTGTGTTTGAGAGAGAGAAGAAATAGATAAATACATTTTACTGATAGCTTTTTTTTTTTTTTTTTTTGT